TGTGTGTGTGTGTGTGTGTGTGTGTAAAGAGGTTTTATATTATCAATAAATCACATCCCAACTGGCCACACAAAGCATTTCTCAACAGCATGTGTGTTTTTGGAAGGTAAATATTAGAGTAATGACAGAATAACAAACGATGTGAACATGCTTTTAAAAATAAAAAGCGATTCACAATTGTACACTACCAGCTGTTTGTTACTGTAATTATTCTTGTTACTAGTTACTCATCCTGGAGAATCTGCCACAAAATGCAAGCAGTGGCTACTGACCACTAGAAGAGAAAGCATGAGACGGTGTCTCACCTGGAAGCCTTCAAGGATCCCGTGCGCCTCCTGGTCCAGGTCCAGGTCGATGGGGGGCAGGCCCAGGCCACTGCCGTAGAGGAGGTACACGCGCCCGACATGGACGTGGCCGGGGCGGCTGTACCCTGGTGCGCCCACCACGAGGTCGCCATGCCCATCCTGGTTGAGGTCAGCTGAGGTCATTGCCCTTAGAGAAGCAAAGGGACTCGCCATGGTGCACACTGAGCACGAGGGGCGAAGCTGTCTCCTGCTTCTTTCCTTCCCACAGCCGAGCACGTCAACTTTCTCTCCCTGCTTTTCCTTCCTACAGCCCAGTACGTTAACTTTCTCTCACTGACTTTTCCACCCTGTGCTGACTGTTGTGAATATTTGCTTCTGAGGTTGTGTTGTTTGTGTGATTCAGTCTCATTCTTTAAGGGGAAAAATACAATAAAAGTGGACAAATCAAGGCCTCTAGGGATTTCTGGACCACACAGCCTGAGAGGATGAAAAGTGTCCTCATGAAGCTTCCCATCTTACATGTCAAACCAGGGCGCCTGAGAGCAGAGAGGAAATGCAGTCCAGCCAAGCCTCTCCAGCCCCGGCGCAGGCTGCTTTCTGATCTGCTCAACTCATTTCAGTGTGCGACCTGATCAAAGACAAGCCTGTGTGAAATAGTCTATGCTTCTACCATCACCACACAGGCAGCTGCTACTGGCCAGATCAAGTGTCCAACACGTGTAGCAGGGGCTCCTAGATGAGATGCCACCAGCCACCAGTTACAGAGCTGGGTAAGCCGAGCCAAAGGTTCAGGTGCCACGAATGGGGCCAGAAAGACCAGAAGTCACTTGTTTATTCTAGGTCTTATTGCCACATAAAGAACAAATGGCAGAACCAAGGAAAAATGCAAGAGCCCTTGTTTAAGGCCGTGATGGCTGGTGGGGGCGGCAGGGACACCAGGGCGTCCACTGCACTGTTCTCTGCACTCTGGAGGCTCAGTGCTGGGCAGTAATGGCCCTAGGGACACTGCTGTGGCTAGCTGTCCTTGTGTGGCTGCCAGCCCAGCAGGAGGCCTTTTGGATCTTTCAGGAAGGTGGCCAAGAAGAGCCATTACTCACAAGTGAATGACCAGTGAAGACAGCATTCACCCCCCTCCCTGCCCCTGTCTCCCGCCCTAGAGCTGAAGGCACAGAGGCCCCGAAAGGAACGGCTGTCAGGAAACTGTGCCGAGGAAGGGCAATGCCCTTTGGAATTAAGGGGTGTGATTTTAAAAAAAAAAAAAAAAAGCCTTCATTCAAACCTCCAGAAAACAGTCACTTTTATGTACTTGGGCTTGGTTTTGCATGTTGTTGCTGTTTTGTTTTGATTTTATTTATTTATGGGGGGAGCTTAGTTTTGGTTGATTTTAAAATCAGAGGAATTCCTAACATTCTCTTTATAAAACTATCACGGTATATCAGCTTTGACCATATGAAGTTATAATATTTAAATCACTACAACAGCTACCTGCTTCCATGCTTCTAATGTTATTAGATTACGAAAGAAATCTGTAACAGTACATCTCCAGGAACATCACAGCTTTGCGAAAATTCCATAAAATAAACCTTAATTGTTGTGATTTAGTAAACCAAAACATCCTTGTATTTAAACACATTTGACCAAATTTAAGGAGATCATTTCGTTGTTACAGTAACTTAACCCTTAAATTAATGCTTTTGGCCGTCACGGTGGCTCATGCCTGTAATCCCAGCACTTTGGGAGGCTGAGGCAGATGCATCACTTGGCCTAGGAGTTTGAGACCAGCCTGGATGACGAAGCCAAACCCCATCTCTACTATAGAAAACATAATTTTGGCCGGGCGCGGTGGCTCACGCCTGTAATCCCAGCACTTTGGGAGGCCGAGGCGGGTGGATCACGAGGTCAAGAGATCGAGACCATCCTGGTCAACACGGTGAAACCCCGTCT